GCCAAAGGGGTTCAGAGTATGAGAGGGGCTCAAAGCTTAGCCCAGGGTGGGGGATTGGGGTGCAGGAGGAGTTTCAGGGTGCAAGTTCTTGGAAGGGGTTTGAGTGCAGAGGGACTCATGTCTGGGGCAGAAGGTTTGGTGCAGGAGGGGTTCAGGGCTGGGACAGGGGTTCAGGAAGCAGGCTCTGGATGGGCACCATTTAACAGAGATGGCTTCCAGGTGGTGGAGCAGTGTGGTTAAGGAAGGCTTACTCCTGCCCTGGCCCTGCACCACTCCTGAAAGCAGCTAGCATGTACAGCAATGGCTCCATTGCACCATGTATTGCCCCTCATCTACAGGCACTATGCTCACAGCTTCTACTGACCACAGTTCCCCATTACTGATCAATGGGAGCTCCAGGAGTGTCTGCAGGCAAGGATGGCATGTGAAGACCCCCTGCTCTGCACTTCTCAGGAGCTTCAGGGACATGCCAGCCACTTCCCTGAGCAGCAATTACCACAGGGATAAGTACACTGCCACGACAGGTCAGGCATTTTAGAACTCACTACTCAAAGAATTAAATTTAAGTGTAAGACAGAAATGAAAATGATGAAATGCACAGACCAGTCAAAAATCAAAACTAACACACTTTGCAAGCAGTAAAAGGAGTAACAACAACCCCCTACGTATGTGTTGGGTCGGGAGATGAGAGCGAAGGACAGTGTGTGTTTGTGAGAATGACAGAGACACGCCCAGTGTGTGAGAGTGACAGATTTTTTCATTGCCAACCTCCCTCCATCCCCTTTTTCTCAGTGTGGAGACAGGGTGTAGAAATGGGGGTAGGAGGAACATCCTGACATCAGCACCCCCCTCTTCTCCTTCCCACACCCTGCACAGCAAGCAGAGGGCTCCCAGGGGGGCAGCATGACAGTGGGTGAAGGGGCAACTGAAGTTGCAGCGCTTGATAGCCTCCCAGCCAAACCAGTCAGGATCACCTGTCAGAGGCTCCAAGACCTACCGATAGATCCTGATCTACTGGTTGGTGACCACTGGGCCAGATGGACCATTGGTTTGACTTAGTATGGCTATAGTTTTGTTCTTACACCAATACAGTCAGGGATTATTCCCTTAACAAAATTTTCTTAGCGAGCTCCTAAACAGGTGTCAGTGAAGTCCCCTGTGTTTTGTCAAGTCTCTAAATGAATGAACCCTTGCACCTTCCAGAACAATCAGTTTTAGATTGTAAACAGACTGTTAGATTTTTTTTTCTCTCAGGTTCAGGCTACATTTACTTGTACTCAACTGTATCTGGAGTAATTAGACCATTCTTGTTAGCACACTTGAAATAATCTTCCTTTTTCTTTGGTGGCTACAAATGTTAACTATTTATTGACAGTTAATGTTGCATTTAGCAAAGCAATACCTATTTAACTCTAGTTTCTCCAAATTTCTGCTACTGTTTAATCATTTTTAATTGGCTTCTTCAAATCCTTTTCAGTTTACTGGCCTTTTCCTTAACCTGAGGAAACCAGAACTGTATACACTCTATTGTTGACTGTATATGCTTGTAAAAATTATTCATCATGAAATATAAGTTTCTGCAAGACAGACTTTGAGTGCATTAAATAAATATAAATTTTATTAAAAACACCCACATCTCAGAGTTATCAGGAATGATATAATAATAAACAGCTTTCAAATAACCTGCATTCATTACATTACAATACTTACAGTATTTATAACCATCCTCAGATTTTTATAGACTTATCAAACATTTCATGAAAATGAGTGAAACTAAAGTTTAAAAAAAAAGGGTACAACATAAGCATGGAAAACACACAGAGAAGTTCATTATCTTAGTGTCAAACTGCTAAAGTTTCCTACACAAGTTAACCACTAGCTTTATATGTGAACTTTACACCACTGTGCGTCAATCAAGATGAAAAATTCATTCAAGTAAAGTTGACACCACTCAGAAGCATCTTCAAGTATGGCTATAGTCAACCTGATAATCCTATACACACAATTTTATGTCTGCTTTTTCATTCATTCTGAGGCAGGGTTCTGTACACCAAAAATTACAGTTCAGGTATTTACAATACATAATTGAATCTCCAACTAAGCTTCCTGCTATTGTTTGCCAGCAGTTTGGCAAATGACAGTGAATGGTATATAACCAAACATCTATTATGGATGGCATGATGAAAATGATTCAAATAAAAAAATCAAGAGATTAAATGTTAAAATGATTTAATTAACCTAATATGCAAGGAAAGTACAGTTAAGGTTTTAAAACCTTGAAACTCCTGTTTCAATGAAAAACAAACTTTTTTTTTAAAAAAAAGTTTGTATTTACAGTGGGTAAAGCCACATACTAAGAATTTAAATTGTCATAATATAAATATTTGACCAATAAAACCAAAAAGGCCTCCTTTCATTGAATAGAATTAGTTTGTAATTCTACTAGACAACATGTCTTTAGATCAATCTTACAGTATATTGCACAACAAATATCTAAGTGATGGAGGTCTGCTTGTTTAGGGAAGCCCTCATACAGGCTGTACCTTTAAAAAAATTATTTTAATCATTACAGTATCCCAGAAGCCTTGTTTAGAGAGTGATTTGAAACACTCTAGCAAACGGTCACTTGCCAAACCTCTGCCTTACAATTTTCCCTTTAATTAGCTCAGTGCATTCTACTTTCTTTCTTTGTTTGAAATAGGCAAAACAGTCTAAAACTTTAAAACACTTTCATTACAATAAAAAGAGCTAACAAATTTACAAAATTAGTTTGTTACGTCAATACACATACAAATTAAAGTAGAAGAGGGATTCAAAAGAGAAGAGTTAAATCCCTGAAAAAATAAAAATAAAACCCACAAGAATAATATATTTATTAACCTACAACAGCTTTACATACACACAGGTGACAACATGTTGGCATAAGGAGAACATGAGCTGAAATATCCCTGAATTTGTAGGAAATAAAAAGGTTGAAGTTCAAGTTATACTTGCTAAAATATCAAGTACTGAGAAAAAAGGTATTTTTTTGAAGGCTAAGGGGGTAGGGTGGTATACAATATTATAAACTTTCACTCTCAGTTCAATAGTTCAATATCCTACTGCCAAACTAGTGTTGAGGTATATGACAGGTAGGAACATCACTCAATTCTTTTAATGTATTTTTTTAGCTCACATTATGATATATTTGTAGCAGGCTGAGTAGCACCATCATGTGAATTCAGCTTCAAACCCAAATATATATAGGTGTGTATATATATAATATATGTGTGTGTGTGTGTGTGTATATATAATTTTACAGTACTAAAATACTAAAGCATTGTGTTACAAAAAGAAGATTTTGTTTACAATTTAATTTACTATACAACATTTGATCTTTTTTTTTAATAGAAATCAATGATTTAAAACCACCACAGCAAGCCAGCTGCCTTTTACCCTCCATTTAATCAATGGAATCACACAGAACTAACCCTGCTTTATTCATTTTATGTAGGCATCAGTCTGCTTAATCTTCCTGGAAAAGAGGACACATACACTGAGAAATGACATACGCCACAATGTACATAATTATCAACACAAAAGCAATCTGCCATTCAATTATCTGAAGAGCATACAGATATTTTTGAAATAGCAGAAGCCTAAGCTAACTAGTTGTAGAGTCTGTCACATGCTGCTAATTATTACCTGTGGTAAATATAAAATTTGCTCTTTAAAATTGTAGTCATTTGAGCAATGAATTTGTCATAATAATTGTAAAAAACTGTTACAGTATAGCTGTGAGAGATGAGCACCAATAAAATGTGTTTTGTGTACTAAAGCATTCCCTTGTATCCAGTAAACCCCATTTTTATTGTAACTTACTTATTAAAAATGGATATGTAGTCCACCAGCAGATGTATGGCTAAAGCCAAAAGTATTTAAAAGCTTTTATTTAAAAAAAATTAATCTTTGCTTTTTAAAATTAAAGTAATCTTTCTTTCTTAGTACCTTAGCACTGTTCAAGTTGCCAAGCTTAGTTAGACAAAGTGCTTCTGAAACACTATTTAAAAAAAAATCTCTAAATATTATTGTTCCTCAACCAGGACTTGACTGGATGAGCAAAATCCAGAGGCCTTCAATTCCCATGTGTTAAAAAGTAAGCATGTTTTAGTAAGAGGCAAATTTAATACAAACATGAATGAAAAGGTCCCCCCCAGTTGTTCAAGGATATTTGAATATACCATTAACATTTTAAAGTATTATAAAGGCTTTACCTGTCAACGGTTATAATAAAGACACCATTTTCTTAGATAGCACCATGTTTTAGAATATCCAAACAAATTCAGTGTTTTTGCTGTCTATTCATTATGTTCTATATGTATCTATTTTGTTAAATAAAATCAAGACACTATTAAGATTACGGTAAAAATTGCATGTTAAAAAGCCACAATTCCAGTATTTCAGTACATCATAGATTCAGCACGTTATAATAAAGACACCATTTTCTTAGATAGCACCATGTTTTAGAATATCCAAACAAATTCAGTGTTTTTGCTGTCTATTCATTATGTTCTATATGTATCTATTTTGTTAAATAAAATCAAGACACTATTAAGATTACGGTAAAAATTGCATGTTAAAAAGCCACAATTCCAGTATTTCAGTACATCATAGATTCAGCACC